GCAAATGGGGAAGACACCCGTGATCCTGTGTAAACAAGTCTGGCAGATTGAGCAGGACATATGGTGACCTCAGAGACATCCTGTGGAGGAATGGGAACCATGACTGCCTTGCCCAGGCTATAAGAATCATTGTGGCTTCATCCATCTTGATTTTTAGACCCTGGGTAAGAGGATGATGGGGGATGGGGTGGGAAGTGTACAGAAGTGGGCCTCCCCAGTGTAGGAGGAAGGCAGCCCCCAGAGACCCCCATCCTATACCTGCTCTGGAACAGTAGCAGTCGCACTTCACATTCTGGTGTGTGGTGAAAAGATCTATCCGGGGAAAGCCCCAGCAGTGGAATAAACAGTGTAGGACGTCTGTGCAGATCTCCCATTCATTGTAGGGTGCAAAATGCCTGCTCAAAGAGTCTGCCATGAGGTTGTTCGTGCCAGGTAAGTACGATGCTACTAAGGTGATGTCATTTTGAATACACCAATTCCACAGCCGGACCACTTCTGTGCAAAGGGACAGAAAGCGTGGTCTGCCCTGGCAATTGACATAATAATACATGGTGGCAATGTTGTTGGTAAGTATACCTATAATCTTGCCCTGAATATGTCTCTGGAAATGTCTGCAGGCGTTGAAAACCACTCTGAGCTCTAACAAATTTATGTGGAGAGAGAACTCTACTCCCAATCACCAGCTTTGTACCTGCATGGTACCCATATGGGCTCCCCAACCCATCAGAGATGCTTCTGTTGTGATATGTGTGGCAGGGGAAGACTGGCGAAACAGTATCCCAACTAAGTGGGGGAGGGATAGCTCAGTGGTTTGAGCATTGGCCTGCTAAACCCAGGGTTGTGAGCTCAATCCTTGAGGAGGCCATTTGGGGCAAAAATCTGTCAGGGATGGTACTTGGTCCTGCTGTGAAGGCAGAGGACTGGACTTGAAGACCTCTCAAGGTCCCTTCCAGCTCTAGGAGATAGGCAATCTCCATTAATTTAATTTAAGAGGTTGCTGGGACTGGTCCACCACTGTAGGGAGGCACATACCTTGGTAGAAGGAGAAACCAGCCTGGTGACCAGATGTTTCACAGGGACATACACGGAAGCCAGCCAGTGTTGCAGGCAGCAAAGATGTAATCTGGCATGATGGACGATGTAAGTCATAGATGCCGTATGTCCCATTAGCTGGAGGTAAATGAGAACTGTAACCATGGGACTGGTGTCTAGTACAGTCTAATGAGGTCCTGTATTGCCTGGAATCTCTGAACTGGCAAATAGGTTCGTGCCGTCACTGAATCAATGTACTCACCTATGACATCTAGGGTTTACGATGGGATATTTGTGGGCTTCTGTTCATTTATCATGAAGCCTAATGCGGCAAAATTGCTTCTTGCCATCGTCATGTGTTGTGCTTCTGAAAGGGAATGGTCTTTTATGAGGCAGTCGTCTAAGTATGGGAAAATGATGCAGTGCGCTGCCACTACTGCAAGAGTTTTTGAAAAAAACTCGGTGTTGCTGATAGTCCGAACAGAAGGACCTGATATTGAAAATGCTCCTTCCCTATTGTAAAGTGGAGAAAGCACTTATAAGCCGGGTGGATGGTGAAATGGAAATAGGCGTCTTGGAGGTCGAGAGCTGCGAACCAATCTCCATTGTCTAGATGAGGAATTATGGAAGTAAGAGTCACCATTTTGAAATGCTGCTTCTTTAAGTACCGATTTAACTTCCGTAGGTCGAGAATGGGTCTCCAGCCCCCCGTTTTCTTCTCTGTAAGAAAATAACAGGAATAAAACCCTCTTCCACGGAACTCGTCCAGCACCTTCTCTACTGCTCCGATGTCTAGAAGGTGCTGAACCTCTTGTTCGAGCAGAGCCTTGTGACAAGGGTCCTTGTCTCGGGTGAACGAGAATAATACACTAAGCTCCTGCAGGAATGGGAAGGTGACATGGACATGTGCCTAGAGTGATGTCGATACTCTGGGTATGGTAACGATCTATGAGGCAATGGTGACCTGGCTCGCCTGTCATATATATATAGTGCTCTCGGTGCCGATGGTAGTGATGGAGCTCTGGTGATTTTGGCACCGGTGGAGAGGGAGACTGTACCAGGGAGAACCTTGGAGATGGTGACATAAGCGTCACACTTCTACGCTTGTCTGATTTTTCTGGTGCCTTGGTTGGATGAATGGGTTCGTTGGTTGTTACCGGTGCCAGTTCAAACTGCAGCGCTGAGGGTCTGGGCTGCAGTGCTGACGGTGCCGATGTGGAGGTAGGCGCCAATGTGGACTGCTTCGGTGTTGCGGGCACCAGTACAGACTGCTCTGATGCTGGTAAGGTCAGCTTCGGTGCCGGGGGTGTCGGTGCAGGTGTCAGCGAGTTGCTTGGCACCGATATAGCACTCGGTGCTGATGGCTTGAATGTGGCCTATGGAAGGCAGTACTGGAGGGGCCTGGTTTGCTCCCTGTGCTACTGGGGACCGATGGTAATGATTACGACAGTGACACTCTTTTCTTTCTCGTGGGGGCTGTCCCTGGAGAGGATGCCCTCTGCTTCTGAGGAGATGCCATGTCTGACTCGGCTTGTGCAGGGTGAAGAGCCTTATCGAATAATATCATTTGGAAGCGCATCTCCCTGTCGCGCCATGAGTTTAGTGCAATGGGAGCACTTCTGCGGCACATGGCTCTCACCAAGGCACCTGATGCATGAAGAATGGCCATCGGAGGCCAGCATTGCATCTCAGCAGAGATTACATTTCTTGAAGCCAGGGGAGCCCAGCATGTTGAAATTACTGTTGTCTTCAGCTTTCTTTCCCCTTTAGGAAGGGAGTTTAAGCTGTAATTATACACAGTCTGGGAGACAAACTTGTTTCTTTTAAACTAGAACAAGGAGAATGACTATGACTAACAATTAACTAACTAATACTAACTAAATAACTATTTATAACTATTCTAGGTTCTGATGAGGAGAACACAGAGCTGAGGGAAACTCCATCTGCGACCTGTGGCGGTTGAGAGGAACTGGTGGGAGCCGGATTGCGCACAAGACAAGATGTGTGAACGGCGCAAGACTGTACCGCGCATGCGCGATCTGGCCGACTACGGCTACTCAAAATCCCCAGACTGCAGCACTGCTCCCCTACAGCAGAGCACCCATGGGGACCACTCAAAGAAGTAACAGTTTATATTGTCAGGAAAAAAAGCCGAGTGATTTCTGCAGGGGAAAAGATCATACCTTAACTCTTCTTTGCTGGTTAGTCGTATCTGGCTCATCACCTACAAATAAATAATGCAGCTTGCTTTAAACAGTGCCTTTAGCATTCATTAATCAGATCTCAACATATGCTGCTGTAAGAAGATAATTATTTCAGGTGAGCTATTTGTTGCAGTTTATTCTGGGCTCAGGAAGCTCTTTTCTAGACTGGGCAAATGAAGTTTTATAGGCTCTCTGCTAAAGGCAGACAATACAGTTGAGGCAGATCCCCCTTCCCCAGTTACAGCCAAGTTCCATCACTAGGAGACAGAGGACAGTTTGCCTGGTCTCCTGAACAGACTGCCTGTTGATGTGTGTAGGGGGAGGAGTGAGCTATAGTTTATCAGTAAGTGGGGAAGTAGGCCAACAGCTATCACACAAAGTCTAGTGAAGAGCTGGCAGAATATGAAAGATATGGGAACAAGGCAGTTTCTCAATCCAGGCAATTGGGAGGAATGTCAGTTTCATCTAGTCTCCGCATGGGGCAGAAGAAAGAAGCAGAGGGAGTGAAGAAAGCTGCCAGAATCTGACACCCATCCACACTGCTAACCCCTCTTCCTGCCCACAATTGCAAAAGATGCTTTGTTGCTGTGAGTAAAGCCAAGTAGCTGCCTGCTAGTCCCTGCACCTGTGCTGGTCCTTGTTTGGAACTGGGAGTACCTGAGATGGGGGGGAAGAACCCCACAAGTTGAGTAAAAAACCCACCATCCATAAGGAAGGAGGCAAAAAGGAAAGAGAAAACACCAGTAACGAAGAGAGACAGAAAAACGGAGCCACACAGAGGCAACCCTACCAGGATCTGGCAAGAGAGGCACCCAATGACCCCTCTCAGGAAACAGAAGATTCCAACAGCAGCAGACGGGGGTTGGGTGGGGGGGGAACAACTGCAGTAGATGGCCCTGTGACTTGTGGACTTGGAATTGATAAGGAGACAGGCTGAAGGAACAGGCCTGCGGGATTTGGGTGGCGATTGTATGCATCTGGGACTGGAAGAGATGAGACTGTAGGAATGAGGAGTTTTTACAGGCAGCTAGAGACTAATAGGAGATATTAGGCCTAGGAAGTAAGGTGTGGCTTCCTGGTCAAGCTGAGGGGAGAAGAGGTTTCTTTTGTGGGCTTTGGGCAGGGGTTTTCTCTCCTATGCTACAAGATGCAAAGTGCATATCAGCCTTGGGGATAGGAGTTTACTTCTCCCTGGTACTGACCAAACCAGGAACAGAGCTTCAG